ACCTCCCTTCCATCCGATCATCAGGACAATGTTGGGTTCTGAATCCTCTCTGTCTGGGTGTCCTGTCTTGATGCTGGAGTCTCTGAATTATAGCAGTCCTTGCATTTCACCCACTTGTCGTTGACATCGACCACCTTGCCTTCTTTTGAACTTTATCAGGTGCACCTGACTTGTGTCTGGATAGCACTGAACAGTCTCCTTAACCTTCCTCCATTTGCAGAGTGCTTCAATCATGGTTTTTGTAAATGCCCACACTTTCTCAATTGCGTTCTTGTCCAGGGTTCTGCTGCATCTCTCCATCCAGATTGCCCATAGAGTAGCTTTACGAATCAAACCGAACCACTGCTTTTCTGGCTTGCTCATCTGTGAAGGGAGGAGCTGGATTGGGTGCTCGGGGAATGGGGATGTGAAGAGGTGATCCTATAAGTCAGCAGCCTTTGCCCATAATTCAGTTGCTTCTTTGCATCTGACTAGACAGTGTAGTAAGTCTTCTTGTTCGTGATCTGCGAATACCACGCACCTATCGGAACTGTTTGGGTCTCTTTTCCTTCTCCTGATATGTAGCCAGTAGTTGACTGGCAGGGCTACATATGCTATCAGTCATTGGAGACTTCTCACCTTGACTGGGCGTAACACTTTGAACTTCTTCCATGGTATTTCTAAAATTTGTTCTGCCTCTCTGCCTAATAGTCTTCTCCATCTGCGTCTAATTGTTGGTCCTGGGTCTTGTGTCTTGAGTAGCATCTCGTAGCTTATTTTGACTGTGCAGCCCGAAATTGGCACAACTGTGTTTTTCCTTTTACCTTTGTTCGGTTGCCACCCCCATTCTGCTGGGTCAAACTCCAGGTCCTGGACAGAGGTGTCGATTTGGAATATCGCTTTTGGCCATAACCCCATTGTCCTGATTTACGTAATGCGTACCCATTGTGGGTGAGTTCTGTTGGGTCCTTGTTCAGTATGGCTGGGGCCTCTGGTTTGCAGTCGCAGATTGGGAAGGACATGAACACTGCCATGCGGCTGTTGGTGTCGAGCCTATGTGAGAAGTGGTATGCCCGGGTTGGTGGTACTTCCTGGATTTCGACCCTCCATTCCCCTGGTTTCCAAGAGAAGTCTTCTTTGAGTAGTTCTAGCCAGCTTACTGGGGTGCTTCTTGTCATTTCTCGTTAAGTTTTCATTACGATGGTGACAACCCTTGAGGCGTGTTTTTAGTTCATTATCATCCAACCAGTCTTTCTTATCATCATCCCATACGTGCACAATCTTCCATATCCCGTGGCTGACCCACGATCCCCATCTGCTGTCTTTGGGGGTTAGAGGCCATGGGAGGTCTCCGCCATTCCTTACTGCCGGGTTACCGAAAAGTGGTTGCCTCAGAAGAATCAGCACGTCTTCCTTGGATCTGGGCTTTTAATTTTCCCAGGCATTATTTCCCTCCAGATTCGAATGAGTGCGGTCCAGTAGGGAAGGAAGGTTGCTGTTCCATCTTCTCCATGTGGCCCTCTTCCTCTTCTTCGCAGGCCTGTTTTTGGACTCCATTCTTCAAAATCCAAAAAAGCCCAGACATGTTTTGAAAACTTTCCACTGGTGTTCCCTCTCTCTCTGTGTGTGTGTGTGTGTGTGTGTGTGTGTGTGTGTGTGTGTGTGTGTGTGTGTGTGTGTGTCGTGCGCTCGCAAGCACGCGTGTCTTGTTTGCACGCTTGGACAACCGACGGAGGCCGGAGGGGGGAGGGGATGAAGCGGCGTCGGAAGTGGGGGAGGAGTGGCGTCGGAAGTGCGGGGAGGAGAAGCGGCTGAGGAGCAGAGGAAGTCACAGAGGAGAAAAGTTTGGTTGGGAGCGATGGCAGAAGAGGCAGAGGAGGAGCGAATTTGGGGGAGGAGCCGAGGTGGAAGTGTAGGGGGAGAGGCAAAGGAGGAGCGGAATTTGGGCGGGATTAGCAGCGGTAGACAGGCAGTGGAGGAGCAGAGTTTGGGGGAGCGGCGGCCGAAGTGCAGGGGGGGGGGGGGGACAGATGGGACCAGAGTTTGGGGGAGGAGGGGGGGGAAACTGATGGGGCGCTACCGACCTGGGTCTCCCATTTTCAAGTGGCGTTCAGGCGCCTTTTACCCTCCAACGCATGCCAATCACCGGGCCACCACAGCTCACGGCCGAAACAACCACAATCAAACCACAGCTCACAGCGTAGGGCTAACCACAAACCAATCACAGCGAATGGCCGACCAGAGTCCACCACCACCAACTGCTCACCGAAGATGGGCTGCAGAGGGGGGGGGGGGGGGGGGGGGGGGACGCGCGCGCGCGCGAGAGAGAGAGAGAGAGCGAGAGAGAGAGAGAGAGAGAGAGAGAGAGAGAGAGAGAGAGAGAGAGAGAGAGAGAGAGAGCTTCAGGGCACTTCACGACAACGACGACGGCGTAAGCTTCGCGACAACAACGGGATCATAAAGACCGGGAGATTCACGACAACGGGAGCATCAAGACAGGGCGCTCCAACAACGGGGGCTTCACACCAGCCCAGGGAGGTTCACGCCAACCCAGGGCACCCACGACAACGGACTTCCCAGTGCACTTCAACGGGAAAGTGAGCCGCGGATCGAAACGGCCCGTTGAAACTTAAGACCAGGTCGATCGAGGCTGTCGGTCGGGTACAACCCAATGGCCTGGATTTGGGCATGGTCTTAAGATCTTAAGACCGCGTGCCGATCCGGGCCATCGATCTGGTAGGACCCAATGGCTGGGATTTCAGATTTATTACATGTTTCCAAGTTCCAACAATCCAGGCCATGGGTCGGTAGGACCAATGACGGCCTGGATCAGAGATGTTCCCTTAGCGATTTTAATAGTGTAGGGATGGAGCCTCATCCACACTACAAGATGCCTACAAACATAGTGGATGGGAAAAGGATTACAAGGAGGTGCTAGAGGATCCTCGCAGTGCTTTCTGCGCATCTGCAGAGCAATGGGGAGTGTCGAGAAGTGTTCCAAACAGCTTTCCAAACATGAACGGAGTGCCATGCACGTCGCAAGATACTTGTGCAAGGAAAATGAGCAATAACGAAATGACAGAAATCCAGAGTGCAAATCACTTTGAAAGCCAGATCGTCGAATGCTGTCCAGAAAGCAAAACTGCACTGATGATACACCGAAGGAGGACCAAACCATCAAACTCAATTGTCAATGAAAGCATATACTCGCCACCACCAACAATGCAATCGTAGCTCTTCCTCCTACTGGCACTCAGCACCCAGACTACTATCCTACAGCTACACTAGTAGCCACGAAATGACAGCAGAAAGTACAATATGTCGACCATGTAGACCGTCGCCAAGACCCGGTACGTGCCCTCACATCATCATTCTCATCTCTCTCTCTCTCCCTCTCGTCTTCTTCACCCACATCTCCCCTCACACGAAGACCACCACCAGACCCCGCTGACCTCTCTCTAAGCCAAGCCTGCAGCGCCCTCTTTCTTGCGACCGCGCTCGTGTGTCTGCACCGGCGCTAGCAGGAACGCGCGAGCGTGAGCTTCAGCAGCTCTGCCGCCTGCTCTACCGAGTGCCCGACTGCCTTGTGCGTAGCCCGGCCCTTTCCTAAATGGAATGTGGCGGACTCGCTGAGTTTCCAGTAGCTTCACTCTCGGTCAAAGTGTCTGCCTCCAGGCCCATTCAGACAATGGCCTGGGACCGAATTGGTTAGGCATGCCCAACCACTCAGCCGCAAACGTGCGGTGTTCCCTGCTTTCACCCCGTTGCTGGAAGAGCCTGGAAGGCTCACAAACATTTCAGATTCTCACGAGCAAGGGGGATGTAACCAACTGGCGCGTGGCAACTGTCTGGCCACCACCAGGGTCTGCAAAAATTGACGAATTCATTGGGATTCAGGGGCCCGCCTTCACTTAGGGCGGGAACGCGCCTGTTGCTGGGGCCTTATGTAGGTAGGCCGAGAGGCATAATCCTCACACTTACATACATGGATGGAGGGAGTAGTGTTCCCAGGAGGGGTTACAATATCCTTCGTATGCATATGCAGCAAGTGGGGAGTCTTGAGGGGCAAGGAAAGATTCTTTTCTGCATGAGTAGAGGCAGGGATCCTCACCACTCCACATCTCTTTTGCCAATCCTCCTTTAGACCAATCCTGGAGATGTCAAACCTCTAATGTCAGAAGCAGATGTTTTATTTAACAACAATCACTTGTAACTGAGATTGAGATCCAATAGCAGAGGTTGGCAGCCATGGTTTCTCATGCAGTAGCACCAGACAGCCCGCGCCCGCGCCCCCCCCCCCC